CTTTATTTTGTATATCTTTGCTGAATTGCAGAAAATATTATGCTTGTATCATTCAAATGAAATTAAATGAACGAGGTACTGTCATCAAATGAATACAAATCCAAAATGTTTGTTAGGAAACACCAAACTTCTGGGCTGTTCTCAACATGCTTATTCTTGTTCATTATGAGGATTCACTTACAATGTATGATATTAATAACTTTACTGATTTCAATAAGTATCTATATTTTTCTTTCAAACAAATGGTTGTTGAGATTACTCAAAAACATTTATGTTTTTGAGATTACTAAAAAAAAATTAAAACATTTGCTTAAGATTGTATATTTCTCAGTCAAATATTATTTTACAGGGAGCTATTTTCAATAAATTTAAAATGCATTCTGAAGATGAAAAGAACTATACTGCAGATGGAAATATTCATGATGTTGCCAACCAGGGTCATGAATCTGAAGACAAACAGTAAGTATTCTTAAACATTGTGAACATTCTGTATTGAAGCTTGTAAGATTACATTACCTTATTTTATATTTAATTTCATTTATTTATTTTATTTTACTTTATTTTTCAGAAAAGCCTAATAACACAAAGCTTGGTATCAAATTGAGAGTAGCATTGATTGACATGTTCATTTGGTGCAGAAGGACCTTTTATCTTTTTCTCGTAAGGACTAAATGTCCACAGTTTTGACTGGAGTTTATTGAAAAAATAAATCTGAAATATGACAGAAATTCTGTTGGAGTGGACATCTTGGATACATTTATGCTATTTGCTAGAGATTATCTTAGTATCTTTCATGTGGCAGGGAATTAATATTTTACATACCTTGAACATTTTATGTGTTCCTCACCCACCATGTGGAAAAATTTGATTTTGTAAGTTATCTTCCCCTTTCCCATTTTGAAATTATATAGTGCTTCAGTTCACAACTTCCCTGACCAGGTAGTGGAACCATTGAAACAGGTGAACTGGGGAGAACTTGACTTAAATTTGCAGCAGTCAGGAGCTGCAACCTGGAGATTTAGGGTATTCTCAGGAATGCTCAATAAATCATATTCATTTTACACACAATTTTTTTGCTGTAATTTTTTTCATAATTGTATTTTAATTGAACTGCTTTAATATGTTGCATTAGTATTTCTGTAAAATGTCATCCATTTTTAAACTCATTAAAATCATCACACCTTTTCTTAGAAAGAAAAAGAAGAAGCAGAAGAAAGGGGAAAAACCTAAGGTGGTCAGCCCGTTTGCTCTGGTAAGATTTATTCTCTCTGTTAGGAGTCTTCCCTTATAAGTGATCATGCTAAACACACTCATACTAGATTTTTGTTTGTGAAAGATAGGGATTTCCATGTTCAGTCATTTCTTCTGACACAATAAAAAGGGCATCCATGTGTCTGCAATTATGTGTGGTGTCCTCTAAATTACCGGAGTCAGGTACTAATCATACTGATTAGGCCTATTAATCTTTATTCAGTCATCTGAATCAGCAGTAAAAAGTAACTCTGTGGCATTGACAAAACTTAAAATTAAGAATTGAGTACTAAAAAGTACTTAAAATTACAGATTTTTTCTGTATATTTCAAAAAAAAAAAGTATTTTAATATTTAATCAAAATTGTATGTCCTCTTTTAGTAATACTGAAATATTTTCTTTTTTTGTATGTTTTGTATACATGATACACAGCAATGATATTGCAAATAACAGACATAAAACTACAGTCCATGATGCTGGACAATGCCCAGTTTGTTTACTTTGCTATATCAGCTTGCACTTGTACAATTACATCATAGGACAATAATTTAAGTCAGTAATCTAGTATTTCACAGTACAGAATAAAGCCAATGGTTTTGTAACAGATGAACTCAAACTTTATTAAGTTCAATGGCAGGAGGATTTAGGATTTCAGTACATTTTTATAATGTCTGTAGTACATTAGGAACAGTTTTTCTGACTGCGTAATAATGAATTTAAAGTAAAAGAGTTTATTGCCTTAATTATCACAATGCCATTAACATTTCTTATAATTTGAACTTTATATGGTGAACTTAAAAAGGGCAAATTTCTTGTGCCTTGTTTATCTATGGCCTTTCTTACCCAAGTGCAGATATTAATACATTAAAATAGTACAGCTCTCTAGTTTTGAGAGTTTATAGCATAAAAGTGCTTATAGTGAAGGGATTTATTCCTGTACATTTAAATTGTTTTGTAAACTGAATTTCTAATCAGATAAAGTTGTAGTTTTGTGACAGCAGGTGTACAATTGATAGTTTTGTCTTTACTTTCTTGACTTTGTAGACATAGCATTGTGTTAGCATTCTAATACAATAGTTAGAATTCATTTCTCTTCTCACTCACAGTTTCGATACTCCACTTGGTCAGATAAATTGTTAATGATACTGGGCACTATTCTGGCAGTAGCCCATGGAAGCTCTCTCCCTATTTCGATGATAATTTTTGGTGATATGACTGACAGCTTTGTTGCTTCTGGAGACTTAAATTTTACAGGTAAGAATATATCTGCTGTGCTGAGAACAATGGCTTGTATTTAAAAAGAGATGGGAAGATTCAGGCATCTTGACAGGACATACTGATGTCAGAAACCCCTGTGCTATACTATCACATGAATTAGTAAGTTATGTTCATTGTAATAGACATACACTATATTTTGGGGGATTTTTATTGTATTTTTTAGTTTCTGCGTTAGTAGATTTTATTTTTGGCTTTCTTTTTCAAATTACCTGCTACAGTGCACATTCAATAAATCATGTTTAACTGTGCTTGCAATAAACAGAAAGTGGCTGGCTTTCCATCTCTTCAGCATGGGCTCTTGTTGATTCCCTTGCGTCAAATCTGACAATTATAGTTTATGAGGTGAATCAGATCAGTAGGTAAATTAATCGGAGATTCACTACCAAAAATGAAAGTACTAATTTTTTCTGGGATCCATCTGTTGACCAGCCTCATTTGCTGAATCAGAACTGTGAAATCAAACACAAAGGAGGGCAGGCACGCACTGCTAGATACGAGAGGAAGGAGTGATACTGTCACTTTGGTGTCAATACATAGATCAGATTATTTCATCCTCTGAACTCAGAGCATCAGTAAGGGACTCTAGTGTGTGGGTAGTTTTTTTCAGCAGTCCTCCCAGTCAAAGGGAAAGGGTTTGAAAGGGCTAATCAAATCTGGTCAATCAAAAAATGGTTACTGGACTGGTGCCACAGCCCAGGGATTCAGCTACTTCCGACCATGGGACTCGCATTGAGAAATCCCATCTCCTGGGGGCTGGGTGGGGTCCCTCTGTCGGAGAAGGAGAAGAGCATCTTTGGCCATAGGCTTGCCCAGTCTTTAAACTTAAGCTGCCAAGGGAGAGGAACCTCAGTCCATCCCACTCCTATCAGTGTGATGCCAGTGCCTGCAAGAGATGCCTGGAGCCTGGAGAGGGGACCTACCTATGAC